ATCCCCTGTCATTTCTATGAAGATGAAATGTTGGTGTATATCTGATATATGTGTGTGTGTGTGTGTGTGTGTGTGCATATATGTGTATACATGTGCATATATAAATATAAATATATATATGAAATGATGTATATATGACATAGCACAGTGCTTGGCATTTATAGGGGCTCCCAAAATGATGATGATAATGATTAAAGACTCTGTTATAGTGGCTTTTGAAATGTGTTCCAAACTGAAGAAGTAAATCAAATTGTTGTAACTCTCTGACTTTTTTTTTTTTTGGTAAATTCTTGACAAGAGAACATTTATGAACTTGCTCATGGTCTAAACTTAGATTTTTCTGAGGAGGAGGGTGGAAGTTCTCTTTGACATCTAGAATCTTCACTGGGCCAACCTGAGTTGTGAAAATGGGTAGAATGGAGGCTGTTCCACTTTGCTTTTGACTGTTATAATAGTTCTTTGGGTCAAGGTGTTCTGTAGCCTTTTCTAAAATGGTCCATTCATCAATGGAAACTGGAAAATTGGATGGAGAACAACATTTTGCTACTTCTGCTTTATAGCCCACTAGGAAGCACAAACAATGTGGGATGATGGTATTGGCTTGAACTTCAAGAATATAGTGCCCTCCCTGTACTCTTCTCTAAAATCAGTGGACCTTAGGAACTAGGAGTGCCAGATGTCCATCCAGCAAGAGACAGTGCAGCACCCCAAAGGCACTAGGGACTTGAGTTCATTTGCTCAATACAGTGGACTTGGTCTCTTGGGGTGGAAGTTACCGAATATTTTCTTATTCATTTAAACTTTATCATCTTAAATTTTGCYTCTTGTAGATGTGGCCATTTGTTGATAAAGCAGTTGCCTAAATTCTGATGGCTTTATTCTTTCTTGGTGCTAAACTATAGGAGAAGGATAGCAGCAGACACAATGCTTAGACAGTGGACCAGCTCTACTGAGTTCACCAAAATCAAAGAGCCACTTGGACAAATTCACATAGTGGTCTGGTGCCGATTCCCAGGCACTATCAGGGATCACAGGGATCAGGGTCTTCAGCTGGCTCTCTACTTGATTTCAGACACTTCATATTCAGATCTTATATGGATACTAAAAAACGTGTTTACAAGATTTTTTAAAGGAAAGCATTTATATTACATTCTCAAGTAAGCACACATATGCATATATGTGTATTGATGTTAAAGTTCCCCAGATTACCACTAACCTTTGCTACATGCCTCTAATATATTCAATTCCATTTCAACTTATTTCATTTTATTACAGGAGCTAGTGCTTGCCTATGAAATTGATTGTGCAACTCATGATTGGGTCACAATTTGCAGTTTGAAAAGCACTGAGCCTATTGACTGTCATTTTCAAAACTGAACTCTGCCAGGCTCCTCCTCTTTCCTGAACTGTGGGTTTCCTGCCCCCTGGTGCTGATGCTTTCCTGGGTCAGCCCTCTCTTCTGCTCTTGGTTGAATTTTCTCATAGGCATCACCTGCTCCCCTGGCTACAACTATTGTTGCCACTGTAGGAATTCACAAATATCTATTCCCAAATCTGGTTACCCTCTGAAACTCTATAGGAGTCCAACAGCATTTTGTAGTTTCATGTGGCTTTCATATGGTTGGTGATCATCACCTTGAATTTGGCATGTCCCAAGCCAAAGTAACTTTCTCTAAATGAAACAGTTTCCTTCCTTGGTCTGTTAGTGGTTTTCTTATTCTCCCACTAATATAAGTCTAAATGTTTCAGACCATCACTGACTCTTCCTCTTTCTTTGCCCTTCATAACTAACCTTTCATCAAATTTTGTTCATTCTTTGCTAGTGACCTTCCTCTCACTTTTCCATCTTTGATACCACATCACTTTGATTTAAAAAAAATGATGTCTTATTATCTACAGAATTGAATCTGAACTCTTTAGAATACTAGATTTTGACCCCAAATCTTATCTCCATCATTATTCTAAAATGTGCCCTTTATTGCATTAAACATGGATCCCCCAATTATGAGCTGTAAAGAAACAAATCTTTCTGACCTTTCAGGAATCGGCTTCAATTATTTGACTAATGTGATACTGACCATATCATATGAAGTCACTGTTGTATTAGCATGTTATTTGGTACTTTCTCTGGAGAGTTAAAATCTGGGTGTTACCTTGAATATCCTCTTCAATAATAAAAGAGTAACCAAGCCGCATTTACACAATCCTCTAAACCAATTGTTCCCAATCTTCAATGTATAAATGTATAGGGTTGATCTGTTAGAGTGTTGTGGTTACACAAGGTGTCCCCAAAAGCTCGTGTGTGAGACAGCACAAGAAAGTTTAGGGGTGAAGTAATCAGAATATGAGAGCCTTGACCTAATCAGGGCATTAATCCATTGGTGTGGATTAACTAGGTGGTAACTGTAGGCAGGTAGGGTGTGGCTGGAGGAGGTGGGTCACTGGTGGCATGCCTTTGGGGTTTATAGTTTGTCCCTGGTGAGGGGAGCTCTCTTGCTTCCTGTTGCCATGTCCTGAGCTGATTRACTCTGCCATGCCCTTTGATGTTCTGCCTCATGTTGGGCCCAGAGCTATGGAGTCAGCTGTCTATGGACTAAGACCTCTGAAACTGTGGGCCTCAAAGAAATTTTTCCTCCTCTAATTGTTCTTGTCAGGTCTTTTGGTTACAGCAATGAAAGAGCTGACCGAATCAGTAAGGATTCTGATTCAGGAGGTCAGGAAGTGGGGTTGAGATTTTTCATTTCTACCTGGGTTCAGAAAAGGTGAGGCTGTTGGTCAGAGACCCACGCCTTGAGCATGGAGCTCTGGACATCCCTTGAACCCATCCCTTCTCCTCCCTGCCTCTCTCTGGGTTGGAACCCTTATCACCTCCCATCCTCCTAACTGTCTGCCTGCTGCCTACCCCGCCCCTCCACTCTGTCCCTCATGAGCCTAGGGTCTTGTGGATCATCACCTCATCTGTGAACTCTCCAAGATGCAAGTGTCATGCAAACCAGAAGTGTCAAGTCACTAACCTTATAGACCCAGCCAGTGATTGGAGTTTGGGTTAGGTGTCTTGCTCATTCTTTTACTGTTTTCATACTGTCATTCTTCTCTGCCAACCCGTTTGGGTGAAATTAATTTTGCTGATCTATTTTTCCCAAAAGACTGATTTTCTAGCTCAAGCTAGGCCCTATGCACTGCAGCACCTGGGTGTTTTACACTTAGGTTTCCAGCAATACCCTCAATGGAGCAATCTATTATTGCTAGATCCCTATGGGGTTGTAGGAATGGGGCTGCAGGAGTGAATGTTGATTAGAGGAAAATTTGGTTATGAACAATAAATGGAGCAGTCCCTCCATGGAAGCCAGTTTTACCTTTTTTTGTGGTTGCCCTGTGTTGGACTCACTCAGCTGAGGTGTCATCCGCTGTGGGTCTACTCTGGGACCTGTGTGTTAGAGGTCTTTGTTGTTACAGGGCTCTTTTGTAGGTTATAGGAAGCAGTGGTATCTCAGGTACTGCATTTCTATTTTTTATTTTATTTATTCATTTTCTTTTTACTGCTGACTCTATTTTTTCAATACTAGATAACATATTGCAAAGAAAACTGTCTTTCTTCAGCTAGGCAGCAGAGGTGAGAACAGGGCCATGGAGAGATTCTGGAGAAGGGAGGAAGCAGAGTTGGGTATGGGATTCCTGGATTTGGGGTTCCAGCTCTGCTTACATGTCTGTGTAAACTTGGAAGGACAATGTAGTTCCCTGGGCTTCTTTTCCCAATACTTGGAGATGGTGGGAATACAGCATTACCTAATAGTCTTTGAAGATAAGTTGCCAGGGCCATACAGAATATATATATATTAAAGCAAACAGAATTCTGCCTCCTAGAACTACACTATATTGCCCTCAAAGCAAGTGAAGTTTTCCTCTGTTCTTTGGGTAGGTGTTTTAAGTCTGTTTTCTGTTGTTACAACAAAATAACTGAGACTGAGTAAGTTATAAAGCATAGAACTTTAGTTGGCTCATGATTCTGTGGGCTAGGAAGTCTAAGAGCATGGCCCCCACTTCTCCCCAGAATCAGGTAAAGGCCTTCTCACTGCATCATAACATGGTGGAGGGTATCACAGGCGGAGCCAGTGAAGGTGTGCTACCAAGATCTTTCTTCCTTTTCTTGTAAGGACACTAATACCATCATAGGGGCCCCACCCCTCATGACCTAATCTAATCTGAATTACCTCCCATAGAACCACTTCAAAATACCATTAATCTATGAATTTGAGAATCAGGTTTCCAACACTTGAACTTTTGAGAGACAATTTCAAACTATAGGAGTAGGTCTTTCTGTATCTTTCCCAGACTTAGGGAACAAATCGAAGGATCACCAGGGTGTGGACCAAAAGGCATTTTTGCTCCCATTTGTCTCTTTTCACTACAAAGACTGTGAAATTCCTCCATGGAAGGAAGCAATGCATTTGGAGGAAAATCTCCCATAATAACCATTTTCCATCGTAAGAAAACGGCCTCTCTTTCCAATGTGTAGATGTTTTCTAGTGTGTCCCCAGGGACATGAGCGTTTTGAGAAGTGTGCACTGCACTGCTGCATTTGCTAAGCCTCCTAGCCTCCCCTCTCCCAGAGTCCCCAATGTTTCCAGGTACAAATCAGGAAACTGACAGGAACTCTAGCTGGTATGAGCATCAAAAATACCCCCCCCCCCAAAAAAAGGCATGCTGTGCAGGGAAGTTAGAGGAAGGTGGCAGACAAGGGGGGAAGATGAAGAGATTTTCAGCAGAGGAAGGGACCTCTGAGACCCAATTGCAAGATGGACACTTCACTCCATGCAATTTCTGCATTTATGCCTCTTTAATGGTCAATGGTGTGATCAATAGAACACCTGCTCCCTGGTTAATAATGGGCCTGTTAGGTGGCAGCCATGAACACGGTGGCTATGGGATCCATGGGCTGACAGAAAAAGACCACTGAACATTGACTTTTCACTTTTCTTTTTCTTTTTTTTTCCCCCCAGGGCAGCCACTGAAGTTTTGGCAGTACTGCTGAAATCCAGTAAGCATCTTTTTTGAAGAGTGGTTATTTCTCTCCCTTCTGATGTTAGTGAAAGAACTCTTTTGTCCCGATGGCTCCTTTCTGACCTGTAAAGGAATGGAGCCATGTCTTTGGCATGAGGTAGGCTATTCCAGGTTCATGACTTCAGAGGAAAGCAAATACCTCTCCATGTGGACATGTCCAACCATAATGTACCAAGACAATTGACCCTAAAGCAGGTATGTTGTCTTTTGTGGCCCTGGGAACTCCCCAGATCCTCATAGAGGGTTTGCAAACCTTAAAGATTGTTGGAATAGTTTCCAGCTTCCTGTGTGGTTGTTCAATGGAAGAAGAGGTGAGGGCTAGGTGTGTAGCAGATTCTTTTGTTTGGTTTTCAACTCAGCTTGTGACTCTGTTTTGGGGCAGGTAGGATGGTGGGAATTGCTTGGACAATGTCGAAGTTGATAACAGATTTATATTAAGAAGTTGGCTCTTTTCTCAATTATTTGAATGATTGCAAAAGGAGAGCTCTGCGGGTCTGAATAATTGTGAGGATTTTTTTTTTATGCCTAGGTCCCTGGGATAATTACACTGGGAATCAATTTCATGTGTGAAGTGTAATAGAAGGCATGATGCACTTGGGAGTGAAGAAGTCTTACTTAGCTCAATGTTTTGATTTCCCCCCCACCTCATTTCTTCATCTGTTTTAATTTGGCATCTTGGAAACCAGCTGCATCAATTGTGAATTTTTTTTTCCTGTAGGGAGCCTGAGGCCTGTGGGTAAGAGGTGAACTTTAATAAAACTTATCAATAAATAAATAGAAATGAAAACACCCTCTCTCTCTCTCAAGCATACAGCTCTATCAACTCTAAACACCAGAGAAGGAACCAAATCACATGATGCTTCCTATGTTAGTCTGGTTTGTGTCCCTCTGACCAAAATGCCTCACAGAACAACTTAGAGAAGGAAAAGTTTATTTGGGGTTCACAATTTCAGAGGTTCAGTCCAGGGTTTGCTAACTCCGTTGCTCTGGGCTTAAGATGAGGAACATCATGGTGGAAGTGCCTCCCAGAGAAAAACTGCTAAGCTCAGGGCAGCTAGGAAGGAGACAGGGGCAGGTAAGGGGAAACAGGGACAGGATATAATCCTCAAGGGCACATCCCCAGAGACCAACTGCCTTCAGTCACTGCCACCAGCCTACAGGTGGTTACCTGTAGTGGTTACCACTAGTCCATTGAAATTGTTAACCCATCAAATGGATGATGAGGTTATTCTAGCTCTCATAATTCAATCTTTTCACCTCTGAACATTGCTACATTGCTGAACACATGAGCTCTTTGGGGGACACTTTCGGATCCAAACCATAATACTTCCATTTACAGACTGAAGAAAAAAAATTGAAGCTTGAATTGATTTAGTTTATTGGAACTTGATATGATCCTTGAGTATATCCACAGCTTTATGACCTTCAGGAAGAGTGGAGGTAGGCAGAATAGGTGGAGGTGTGCAGAGTGGGAGGTCACGATGCTTTTGAGATAGGAGGGGATGGAAAAGTGGTACTTGTGAGATCTGAGGAGGAGACTGTTCATCTTTGGGAGGATCATATTTCAGGTTTGACTTTTTAAATTGGTTCTTTTTAGTTGTACATGACAGAATCCATTCTGATATAATTATGCAAGCATGGACTATTTCTTATTCTAGATAGGATCCCATTCTTATGGATGTACTTGATTCTCATTGTGTACCTGTTTGCTGTCACTCTCAATGTTAATGCCTGGTATTTGATGCAGAAAGGTGAGGGAGAGTTTAACAGCAGGATGGAAAGAAAATGAGTATGGCTAGGTTGGCCAGTACCTTTCTGGGAGTACCACACCCGAGAAAGCATCTTTCTGCTCAGCCCTCCCCACACAGCCTTGGCAGTGGAAGACTTGATGTCTCATGAGAAGGGAGGAGTGAGAGATGAATGAAGCCAGTTTACCTTTTACAGACACCTTCCTCACCTCTTAAGTTTAGAGTTGGATGTCCTGAGATAAAATGTGCCTACGGTATGTAAAAACATGAAAATAGTACGTGCCACTTGATATATTGATATGAAACATGATGTGTTGGCTCAGGAGAAAACAATAGCCAATGCAAATATGGATTGACTCAGACTGAGATGATTTAGCCAGGTTTCCAACATGCAGGGTCATGCTTAGCGAGCCTTTAAAGCCTCCAACTTCTCTTTCTCCAGAGCAAGACCCAGATATCACTTCCTTTGAAAAAGCCTTCTCTGATCACCAGGACTGGGCTTGATTCCTCTCCCCTGCACTCACACAGTTGCTCCCATCTCAGCATTGATTATGCTGTACTGAAGTTGCGGTTGTCTGTTTCTCCAGCAGCTACAAACTTCTGAGAGAAAGAGTCATCTCTATTGATCATTGTATTATTTGTACCAGCACAATAAAGAGCTCAAAGCCAATATTCGCTGATGACGATTTTAAATGAATAAACAATTCATGATATTTACACACATAAACATGGCAATATTGCCCCGTTCTTCCTGAACCCAACCATGTATGCCTACAACCAATGATCCTAATATTTGTAGTTTGGATTTAGCTACACTAATGGATGGATCAGGAACTGATAGCCTGCTTTCCTTCACATACAAAACAAGTTTTACTGTCAAATTGCAATGATGCATAGAGTCGTTTGCTAATTCTGCTGAGCTGTTCATACAGACCCTGATCTGGGTCTTAGGTTATTTATAACATGAGAGAGTTGGATCAGAGTCTGGCTAACATTTGTTCTCCCACTAAATAACCAGCCTAAATTCATATCAGAGTTTCTCAGTTTGGCACCATTGGTGTTTTGGGCTGGATAATTCTTTGCTGTTAGGTCTGATCTGTGTATTGTAGGATATTTAGCCACATCCCTGACCTTTGCCTACCAGGAGCCAGTATCACCTCCAGATGTAACAAATAAAATTGTCTTTAGACACTACCAACCATCTCCTAACCCTGCTGGGGGTCAGAATTGCTTCCTTTTGAGAAGTATATTTGGGCATACACATGTACATTTGAGCTGAAGTCTAGTCAAATTGTCAAAGGACCCCTCCCCAGGTATTTTCTTGATATTTCACGAAATATCCTTCTTGCCTAATTGGTCTTAAGTTCCTCAGCATTGGAATAATTCATATAGATTCATAAGAGATAAGAGCACAAAAAGCAGAAAATCATTACAAATCTTCACAAATTACTTGGGAGCAGAACAGGCTCTTGAGGACCTCGAGGGTCTTAGGACAAGGAGGGCAGATAGGTTCTATTCCAAGTGGCAACTCCAGTGTACGGGGAGAGGGATTCTGAGATTATATTTGAGCTCAGCAGGAAAGAAGGCTGCATTTGGATTTCTTTCTGTCATGGATTTCTAGAGGAGCAATAACAGCATATTGGGGAGTTACCCTCTTGGTTCTATTGGCCTATCCAAAACAGTGGGTGGCATGGAGGATCTGGGCATATATAGTACCACTCCAGTAGACTGGGTTTGCTGCAGGGCACAAGTCTCGTGGGTTTTCCAGTTGGATTTTCCTGTCTACCTGTCATGTATAGTTAAGACCTGACATGGAATGTCTTTCCATTTGGATCCCAGAGTGAGTTCATGTCAGTTGAACTTAAATGCAGGAAGTCAGCTTCTGTCTAAAATTCCAAACCTCGCCATCTGGCACTGATATCTGGGAATGTTTAAGTGAGCCTTTAGTTCCTAAAGGCACACTTCTTTTAACTGATGATTATTTTTGACCTTGATATTTCCTTGTCAGTTAGTATAAAAGTCAGCTATTGTAGTAGATCTCTGTAACTGACTCACAAAAATAGAACATTCGCCAGTCTAAATAAAGCTAGCACAAAGTACTTACTACCTGGGAGCAGTCAGCATTGTAAACACTAAGATAGGATTGGGAATCTGAGGTCACCAAGATCCTATCAAGTCATGTCTGGCTAGAGTCAATTTCCTACACCTAATAGAAAAAGCAGAACTGGGAAATATGGGAGATTTGGAGTCTTCTGTCCACAGAAAAACAAAAAGAAAGCTTTTTGTTTTTTAAAGGTCATAAAAAAATAAAAAAAAAAAAAAMCTCTGCTTACATTAGGAAGATCTTACTATTTTGCTTTGGCTCTCTTTCCTATCAAGTAATGAAAAAAAAAAAACAGTGTAGGATATGTGGATGGTAAGAAGAGAGAAATGAACCCAAAGATGTCTCTCATCTCTTTTCTTTTTCTGGGCATTAGTAGGCAAAAATAGCTTGGATGTCCTAAGCCCCTTTTCCAGTTGTCTTGGAAATTCTGGGCTCTACAAATTAAAAAGTTATTGCTCATCCAAGAGTCCATTGTTATCTCTGTTTTGGATTAGAATGGTCTAATCCAAATCCCRTGCCTTTCCTCAGATCAGTTCCTCTTCACTCTCACATGCACAAATTTTACATTAAGTTTTCCTGTATTGAGAGCTTTGCCCTTTTGTGCTCTATTCTGTCCAAAACCACTTAGTACTTTATTTTAAAAAAATTAACAAAGCCTTGATTAAGAAATAGTGCTACTTCTATGGTGGGGAATTTCTTTAGTAAACTAAAGCAACATGTTGATTTTGTTTCTATCTCTCTTGCTATCTTCCTTCGTTCTACCTTTTTATCACCTGACTCTCTATTGTGACCTCTTTCCCTCTAATCCTCTTTTCCTTTTCCTATGGCCCCCTCCACCTCTCCCTCTTTCTTTTTGTTTCCTAACTTCCCTTCCACAAGCATTAATCATAAAATGCATTTTTTGAAAAATTGCAGCCCTGGAAGTGGTACTTGAATGAGATGTGCCAATGGAATCATGCCTGATTTGTACAGAGTCCAGGGATGAATCTTCAAATAATGTCTTGGCTTTGACCTTGCTGCCCAGATTTAAAGGTCATTATCTTGTAACAAGAAAACACTTTCTGGTTCAGAGCTTAAATCTTAATAAGGAAATGATGAGTCTACTTCAGACCCCTCTCCAACTAA